GGTGTATTTCATATCTGTAAACAAAGTTTTGATGTATTTCATATCTGTGAACAAAGTTTTGATGTATTTCATATCTGTGAACAAAGTTTTGATGTATTTCATATCTGTGAACAAAGTTTTGATATATTTCATATCTGTGAACAAAGTGATGATGTATTTCGTATTTGTCAACATAGTTTGATGTATTTCATATCTGTGAACAAAGTTTTGATGTATTTCATATCTGTGAACAAAGTTTTGATGTATTTCATATCTGTAAACAAAGTTTTGGTGTAGTTCATATTTGTGAACAAAGTTTTGATGTAGTTCATATTTGTAAACAAAGTTTTGATGTATTTAGCACACGTGTGGAAATTTGATTTGGTTTACGTGTGTTACATATTTCATATTATATATTTTTGCTTATTTTGTATCTATAAATATAATTCTAAGCTCAATGTGTGATTGTAATAAAACATTTAGTGTCTTAGTTTCTAGCGTTGTAATTCCGCAGACATACCGTTGTGCCACTGGAGAGGGAGGGCAGATATTATAAAGCTAGGACACCCGACTCGCAATCTTCAGGTTCTAGTCCCGCCACCAAACATGCTTGCCTTTTTAGTTGTAGGAGCGTTATAAGGTTACGGTGAAACCCACTTTTTGTTCGTAAAGTGTAGTCCTATCTACCTCCCCTCTAGTCTAGACTACTGCAGATAGCTGTTTTCAAAACTCAACAACAACAAGGCATTATAGACATTGGCTACTTCTACACGCATATTCGACAGTTGCCGATATATTTGAATATTTAAGAGCCGGTCTTAAGGCTTTTATATCTAAAGGTCATGTTTAGCTACAGTCATAGAATCAGTAGTACATGTAAATGTTTCACTAAGGAAGAGATTGTGAAGTCTTGGAATGTTTCTTATATTTTCTTTCTCTGCTAAAAATTGAGACTCAGTTTACAAAGGAATTCGAATGTCATAATGCTTCAAGCGTTTCTTGAATTTGGAAGTATTATTTTTTATCTCTATCGAACATTATATATTTTTCGTACGTTTACACCATAACAGTGAGTTTTGGTGTGTGTTTTTTTTTTCACCACACTGCAGTAAATATTGGGTTTTTTTCACCCAACAGCAGGAAATACTGCGAGTTTCACCTAAACCCCATACTCCAATATTAGTTGATATGGTTTGATTCGTTTTGAATTTCGCGCAAAGCTACACGAGGGCTATCTGCGCTAGCCGTCCCTAATTTAGCAGTGTAAGACTAGAGGGAAGGCAGCTGGTCAGCCCCACCCACCGCCAACTCTTGGGCTGCTCTTTTACCAACGAATAGTGAGATTGACCGTCACATAATAACGCCCCCACAGCTGAAAGGGCGTGCATGTTTGGTGGGACGGGGATTAGAACCTGCGACCCTCAGATTGCGAGTCAAGCGCCCTAATGATATTGTATAATGCTTGATTTTATTATAAAAGAATTCCTTTTCCAGCCTACGTTTGTCTATTTTGTTGATTTTCAATGAAGCTAGTTTGGCTATACTTTGTGACATGTTTTATTAAACTTCGAGAAATTCCGCTAAACAATATTCCCAGTAGGGTTCCTTTATCTCCTGATGTACTGCCCTTTGTTTGCAGTTGTAATTTTTACCGTTTTATTGACTCGATAAGGCAATATATTACACTTTTTGTTGTTGTTGTTTAGACATTTCGCGGGTTTCCGAGTCGTTCATTACCTGCAACGGTATTTTTTTTTTCTGGAATTCTGTTTTCATTTCTATTTGTTTCATTATTTTAAAAGCCAACAATGTTTTTATAGTAACTCATTTTGTCGCTACCATCATTCTATAATGAATACACTTCTTTAAAGAACCGTTTGTCATCAGTCCCATTCTAAAATCTCCCTGTGGAATATCGATAAGGTTATGGAGTTATAACGTTAAAATCCGGGCCTCGATAACTATCTAATAAGAAAAGAATATTTATTACATTTTAAATTGTGTCCGCATGAAGTTAAATTAATAAAGATATACAATATAAAAATAAGGAGAATATATTTAATAAAACAACATGTTTTTAATACTGCCTACAGAAATTTTCCTTAGGCCAACACTTCAGTAAACTATTAACTACTAGAAACCAAAAATATTTCTTCCTTATTATCTTAAGTTTAAATGTACGAGACACTTGTTCAAGTTTAACAACTTTGTAGATACTAACGCCCCCTGGTTTTACCAAACACAATATAAACTTTATATTGTTTTCTTTTTAATTACTTTTCACAAAGCAATACTTCAGTCGTTAACTAAGAGTGCTGTCATTAAAAGCACCCACTTATAGAAATATTTTACTCGTTAACTAAGAGTACTGTCATTAAAATCGCACCCACTTATAGAAATATTTTACTCGTTAACTAAGAGTGCTGTCATTAAAAGCAGCCACTTGTATAAATATTTTACTCGTTAACTAAGAGTGCTGTCATTAAACGCAGCCACTTATAGAAATATTTTACTCGTAAACTCAGAGTGCTGTCATTAAAAGCAGCCACTTGTATAAATATTTTACTCGTTAACTAAGAGTGCTGTCATTAAAAGCAGCCACTTAGAAATATTTTACTCGTTAACTAAGAGTGCTGTCATTAAAAGCAGCCACTTACAGAAATATTTTACTCGTTAACTAAGAGTGCTGTCATTAAACGCAGCCACTTAGAGAAATACTTTACTCGTTAACTCAGAGTGCTGAGTTTATATTTGTGTCCCCTAGTCCTACTATTTTCACAGTTAAGTATGAAAAACATGATGCATAAACACTATTAATTCCTTTTATACCCTTAAACACCTCAATCAGATCCTCACTCCCTAACTTTTCCTTTTTCTATAGGTGTTGTAACATGAGTGACGTAATTCACTACGGTATTGATGGTTCTTAGACCAATTACTAAGTAACGTCACGTACAGTTGGCCCATAGCAAGTAAAGACTGCCAGTGTTATAGTTAGTGCTTTATGATGGCGGATATTCAGCTTTCCTTGGGGCATACAACTATTAGATTTGATATCCATTCCATTTTACGAAAAAAAAAACTGTTTGTTTTTACCTCCTCCTCGTAATATTTCTTCCACGGCCTGGATGTCACTGGGGTACTTGATTATTTGTAGAAAGCCACACTTAGATCCACGAAAATAGTTTTGCAGTTTGTACACTAGGGGATTTCTCTACGATATCTTGTGAATCGTAAAGATTTCACCTGTCCATCCAGGAATATAGCCTTTCATAAACTGACGCTACACTTTACTAATACGTACTTAATTACTCGTTTGGAACTGCAAGTATATTTTTGTGGGGGAGTTGTAAAGTTCTCCACATTACAGACTGATTAGAGCAGTGTTTCCCAAAGTGGGAGCCGCCAGAAAATGGCCCGAAAACAAAAATGCTGAATTAAATTTAATTCTAAATAAACAATAAGCCGATAAAAATTATATTGAATTAATTCAATTACAGGATTGCTTCATATTTTAAAACGAAAATAAGATAACCTTACATAAAATTAAGTGTGTATTTAATTGGGCATCAGTCTATAAATGTTACCCAAACATAATAAATTGCTTTCTAATTACAATACATATAAATTGATAAGAAAGGTCACATTAAATTACAAACATACAATTTAATAGAAAAATTACTTCATAGATATCACTAAAGTTCATTGGTAATTATTTTTTTGAAATTGATAAATCACATTTTAAGGCATTTTTATAGGCTGAGGAGGGGGGCTCAAACTTCTTTTATTCACACCAAGAAAGCCTCATACTAAAATAATTTGGGAACCACTAGATTAGAGCAATCGTTGGTCTTATTTTAATGCTGTGATTATACGCTTGATTATAGGCACATACCAGATTTTTCAATAGAGAAATACTTGTAAGTTCCACTATGTACAATTAAGAGTACGATTACATTGTTCTACTTTAGATGTTTTTGTTTCTTTATGTGTAGTGAAGGAGTGAATGTCTTGTTCCTTGAGAGCCCCCCCCAGTGGCACAGCGGCACGTCTGCGGACTTACAACGCTAGAAACCGGGTTTCGATACCCGTGGTGGGCATAGCACAGATAGCCCTTTGTGTAGCTTTGTGTTTAACTACAAGCTACTACTTGTTCCTCGAGATAAGCACCTGTTTGAAGTTTACAGGGTTTGTGACCCTGTTTTAAAATCTGCTTGAAAGCTTTGACGACTGTCGCATCTTTCTTATAATTGAGTGGAACAGCCCACGTATATTTACAAAACACGTGAGTAAATACTTAAACTAATCATTATACTGACTCGGATTAGAAATATAATCAAATTAGCCTTCCATTGTTCATCGATCCCTGAAATGATTATTCGGTTTCATACAAATTTACATCTTACTGGTTTGTGTAGGGTGTACATATTCTGACGATTTAACAAGTCTTTAACCTGTTTTAAAGTGATGGATTAACCTAATGCTTTTTCAGATCTATATAAATGCCGCCATAACTGGCAGGAAGAGTAGTATTATGATTGTAGCGCTTGATCCACAACAGACACGACTTATTTTATAAATCATGTGAACATTTCACATCGCCTACTTTTATTTGGTTTACCAACAGTTCTGTGTAAAACAGTGGTGTAAATTTGTCCGTTAAAACAAGCCGGGCCAGGCATGGCCAGGTGGTTAGGGCGCTCGACTCCCAATCTGAGAATCACGGATTCGAATCCCCGTCACACCAAACGTGCTCGCCCTTTCAGCCGTGGGGGCGTTATAATGTGACGATCAATTCCACTATTCGTTGGTAAAAGAGTAGCCCAAGAGTTGGCTGTGGGTGGTGATGACTTACTGCCTTCCCTCTAGTCTTACATTGCTAAATTAGGGACGGCTAGCGCAGATAGCCCTCGTGTAGCTTTGCGCGAAATTCAAAACAAACAAACAATAAAACAAGCGAGATTCATTTTTACTCCAATCAAAGTTTTACTGTGTTTAAAGGGTTGACAACAGTCCATGGTGACATCCAAGACACAAATAAACCAAGAGCACAATGATACTTTATTTGAAATGAGTCTATTTAAATACATTGAGTTTGGGTTTTGATCTATTAGTTGTTTCTTAATTTCCTTGCTTCAAAAAGTGCCATCTGTCGGTTTTCCAAAATAATTCTGATAATTCTTCTTCTTAATTATTTCGTTTTTTACGTAGTACACCGTTGATTAGGTCGATTATATTACTGTCTGGAGGGATATTCCACAAATCCTTAATCCTTCTCGATCATTCCATGATAAGTCGCCACTGGAGCTGATTTCAGCTTTTTTTTATATTTCTAAGAAACGCTGTCGACGATATCTAAATTCTCATGGGCTGACGAATCAATTGGATTTTGATGGGTTCCACAGCTTGTGAGAGAAAGGTTTGATGACGTTGATGCAAATGATTTAACATCTTCACCTTATCGTGTATGGATAACGTGTCACTTTTTATAACAGAAAATATTTCGTGATCTGTTGAGTTTGATGCTTTATATATTGGTCTTTCATAAGCCTTGGGTTGATAAAGCGAATTTACCAATTCATCAGGAACAAGAATCATTCATTTTAATTTTTAGCAGCTTTTCAAATAGCAAGTATGGAAACTACAAGTGATGATAGAAACCCTCTTCTATGTATTGGTAAGTTCTTTTTTCTGCTTAACTGAAGCTTTCTTAGCTGCGAACTCTTTCAATAATGGTCTTTGTCGACTTAGTTTCTGTGTTCGTCAAAGAAACGTTGCCCTTCAAAACATTTAAAGCACATTCGCAAATACACAAGATAAAACCATTTTTATCTCCGGTAATCTGTTTATATGTAGCTTTACGTAATTCAAGGATCAGCTCTTCACGTTGTTTAACTCTAAGAATCATAATGAATAAACTTAGTATTCCGAAAATTGTTTAATCTCAAAGTCTAAGTTCAAGAGAGGTCCAGTTCAATCTACACTTTGATCAATATGTGTTATTGAGTTATACTAGTTTCGGAGAATTCCACTCCTCATCAGTAACCCTGAACACAAGTTAACCAAGGAGAAATAAGCTGGACTTATATAATAGTGAAAAAGTATCAAACATACTGTTGGTGTGAACGTGCTTTGTGGTCCACTCTGACTACAAGGCACGTTCATACCAACAGTATGTCTAAGAATCACGATGATCAAATGAAGTGTGTTTGTATGTACAAATAAATATAAAACATATACAATCTGTTTGCTATCTAGTTTTTAACACTACAATGATATGTTTATTCCTATGATATGGACAAAGTACAGTAGGTGCTGGAAGTTTAATAACATGGGGACATCCACACAATTCCAAATTCTAGCATGGAATGAAACGTTCAGCTGGATCCCCAGGATGTCGACTTTCTCTTTGTCTTTCTTGCAGACTGTCGTGAGGTTTTCTTTCAGCATTCTGGCCTAATTCCATAGGTAGGGAAAGATAATATTTTCACTTTCCCAGGTGACCATAATTAAAGCAGTGGAGTGTCCATTCATAGCAGCGACGATCCGTATGCGAAAGGTAATAATTCGGAAACGGTGACTTAAATAAAAACACACCTATATTTCCAGTGACTGTACATTTAATTACAAGTCCTTTAATCACGTAAGGCCCGAGATTCAGATAAAATCCTTTTAGTTCTGTCACGACTAGAGACAGTTCAATCAATAAGTTTATTTGTTTGTTATGGATTTCGCGCAAAGCTACACGAGGCCTATCTGAGCTAGCCGTCCCTAATTTTGCAGTGTAAGACTAGAGGGAAGGCAGCTAGTCATCACCACCCACCGCCAACTCTTGGGCTCCTCTTTTACCAACGAATAGTGGGATTGACCGTCACATTATAACGCCCCCACGGCTGAAAGGGCGAGCATGTCTGGTGTGACGGGGATTGGAACCCGTGACCCGTAGATTGCGAGTCGAGCGCCCTAACCACCTGGCCATGCCGGGCCACAATCAATAAGTACATTATTGGAAAGTTTGTACATATTGATTGTTTAGTAAACAAACTATGCTTTATAGAGATATACGGAAAAAACATAAAAATTGTGATGTACTAAAAGATTTTTGACAAAACATGAAAATGGTAAAATGTTACTATTTATTTCACTCAGCTTATATATAATAGAACCTGCGAAAACGTTACATATGGTAGGTCGTTTGACAAAACATAATATCAGGGGTGCTTTACTTAGTTGTAACAAGAATGATTTTCTAATAGGATTTAATAATTAAAGAGTAAAATCAGACATAAAAACCATGTTAAAGAGTAGCACTGTTATACTAATTTGTACGACAGTCATATTTCGGTACTATGTAACAGTAAGACAAACTATTGTGTGATAATCAGATATGTAAACCATGAAGTCAAACTGTACAGTTTTATAGTTCGTTCATGTGTTACATGTGATACTCAGGACTAAATAGTTTTTAAGTTAAATTAATGTATGGATATCAGTATAATGGATAGGATAAATATATAGAGTTTGGATGTTTCCTTGATGATAAGAACAATGTGTCCATTTGAGGACAAAATTGTGATTAAACTAATGTGTTGTTATTAAACACAAAACGCAGTATGGGCTATTTGTAAGCCTACAGACTTACCGCTGAATTAAATATATTTTGAAGTACGTTATACAAATAGTGTAACGTTATGAAACACTTATTTAGATATTATCACAAATTGGATATGACTATCCGTTTTAGTTTGGACTTACAGCAGTAGTTAATATTTGTGGATAATATATTTGTTCTAATTTAGCAGGGAAAGCAGTCCTCTTTCGTATTCGTAAACTTTGTCTATTGTTG